ATAAATTTCCTGTATTGTTTTCATCAGGTCCTTAATCACAGATACTAAGGTTTTTCTTACAGCTGTTTAATTCTCTGCATTCACCTAAAATTCTTCAACTGTCACTGTGGTTAAAGGGATAATTAAACATTACTTCATGGGGACCTATGATAAAGTGTCATATGTCACAGAAATAGCCAAGGTTCTTTGTCAATTGCCATTTTAAAATATTTTATTATTTAAAAATAGTTGTTTTATGTTTTTGCAAATATGTTTTATCTTCTGAAAAGTTCATAAAAAGGACTCTGGCACTTACTCTAGAATACAAGTTTCTGATAAACATTCAGATTGTAAAACAAAACTGGGTAAAAATTATAGAACTGTAACTCAAAAACTGATGGCCTCATGAAACAGCCATCAGAAAATCAAAAATTGGTTACATAAAACTAAATGAACTAATGGGGATAATTATAATTTTTGTGACTTCTTGTTTAAAATATTGCTGATTTTTTAATGTTTTGTGTTTTGTTTTCTCAGATTTAAGGAAATCTTTTCCTCTTTTCTCTTATGCTAACTATGACATCGCTTTTTGATAGAATTATGCTTTTATAAACAAAATTCAAAAATTTATCTCTTTCTCCATACCTGATCCCTCTAGAGTTTGGAAATTCTCAGTGACTAAGTATTCTTATTTTTACGGCTATATAAATATTTTCATAAGTTCAATAAAAATCTGTCCTCCTTATAACAGGACACAATTGGGAACACTGCTTATAATATCAAGGCTTTGACTTGAATGTCATATTTGAGAAAAACATACAGATTCAGATATGACAAGACAGTTTTTAAGGAATAAAGGTTGACTTTCTGGAATAAAGCCACTTGAAAACATTGGCCTGGTACCTTGCTTATGGGTTCCCAGTAACCTGGTATGGTTGAGTAAAAAATGTCACTCCCTCTGGCAGGTACCAGGAACCTCAATATTTTGGGGAACCTCTCAAAGACAGAAATTCACCCAAATCTGTATGTATTGCAGGTGGAGTCTGATGACAAGTTCTTGGTCTTGCTTTCCTCGCCTTGAGAGGCCTTTAAAGTTCAATTGGAGATTCCTTATAAAAAGTTCCAGCAAGGCAGATTTAAAAGAGCCTATATGATCAACTGCTATTCTTACTGTATTTATGTAAATAATTGGGCCAAGTTTATTAAAACTAGACTTATTTTGCAAACCAGTTAATCTTAATTTGGCTATCTTTGGTAAAAATGAGGTGATTTTAGAGTAAAAAAATTATGTTTCAATAAAAACTATAATACACATTTATAAATTATAGATTTTGGTTCTGCAAGTTGTCTTTGAGGTTTTTGTTTTATATCTGTAAACTGGACTAGATCCTGAATTCTTCTAATCTCCTGAAATATCTGAAATAACAAATCTCCAAACTAATGTTTTCTGTTTTTTTCCATCATTTTCATTTGGAATCATTAAAAACTGAACCTGCCCTTTTTCCTAAAGCCTTGCAAACTGAAACCGGAGGACTTGATATAAACTTAAGAGAAATTCAAGCTGGCTGCTGTGTAAGCCACTTGAAAAGATACCAAAGTGCCCGATGACACCATCAGAGACATTTTAAACTGCAAAAGATGCTTTGATCCTGACTTCTAGGAATCTTGATTGGCTGCCACCTGGGCTCAGAAACTGCTTTATAATTTGCTGCAACCATATTAACCTAGTTTTTTCTTTTTGTTTCTCTAGAAATGCTCCTTATTAAATACCTGGTTACTTACTTACATGATACATGCCTAACTTTGGGAGCCCATCTACATCACTACCTTGTTAAAAGACTGGTTCAATAAGATGGAACAACCTATGCCCCAATTCAGCAGGAGGTAGCTAGATGGGTCATTGCCCCAAATACCTCAAGATTGAGAAATGAACATGAAATAGTGGAGAACTGATGCCAGCCCTGATATCAGTTCCTCTGCATTAAACCCAGCATATGGGGGGTTAAAACCACAGCACTCTTTCCCTGCTTACTCCTTGGCTCCCTGGCTCCAGAATCCTATCTGCCATGGAGACAAGCAGCCAAGGTTGCCCACCTGGATTCCTTATCATCTCCTCCTCCTCCCTGCAAACAGCATCCCAAGGCTGAATGCAGGCTGGTGGGAAAGCTCTGACCAGCAGGGCCACTGACTCCCTGCACCTCTCTACAATCAGCCACATTCCTCACAAACCTGCAAAACTCCTCGCCTCCCCTCTTTCATGGAGACGAGAAGAAATGAGACAAATTTGAGAGTTCACTCTTGTCTCCTGGCTGATATCACCCCAAATAAAAACTCTTTCCTTGCCATAAGCCTGGCGTTCCAGTTTTTATTCGGTTCCTCTTGTGTGGTGGGTAAAAAACCCTATGTTTGTAGGTGGTATCTCTGTCAGGTCTAAAATTAAGGCCCTATATTATGTGCCACCTGAACATTTGGTGAAACCAGCAGGGCCTCCAATTGCCTAACTGAAAGTTCCCCTCCGTACTCTTCACTTGTGGATAAAGTCCCCTACCAGACTAGCGTCTTTATCAAAGGGACAAGGAGAACAGATCTTGCTTATTCCTAAGTAGTGGATTTCTGTTCCCTACCAGCCTCTGGAATTATTCAAACAAACTGATCATATCCTGCCATGGGAACTAGGGGTTACCTCATCCCCTTGATACTACAACCTCTGCTTCCACAGACCTTGCTTATTCACTCTGGTCCTGAGTGTAGCCCCTGGGTTGCACAGTGTGGCATGTGTTGTCCTCCTTCTCCGGCTGGTGAGTATAGGTGATTAGTAAATGGCTATCTCATCTCTATAGTGTCCAGTGCTATGTGTTTGGACACCATATAACCATAGTGCAGAAATTCCTCCCTCACATCATGAGTCAAATAGGAGGCCAATTACATATGCTCTTATGAATTACTTTGGGATCATAGATAATCCAGAAAGAAATCTCCATGCACAGAAGTTATTAATTTGTTAGGGCTGCCATAAAATAACACAGACTGAGTGGCTTAAACAACTGAAATTCATCAGTTCTGGGGGTTAGAAGTCCAAGATCAAGGAGCTGGCAGGGTTGGTTTCCTCCAAGGCCTCTCTCCTTGGCTTGCAGATGGCCACCCTCTTCACTTGGCTGTCCCCTCGTGTGCATGCATCCCTGGTGTCTCCTTGTGTGTCCTAATCTCTTTTTATAAGGACATCAGTCAGATTGGATTATGGGCTCCCTAATGACCTCATTTTAATTTCATCATATCTTTAAATACCTTATCTCCAACTAAAGTCACATTCCGAGGTACTGGCAGTTATGACTTCAACATGAACTTTTGGGGGCACACAATTCAGCCCCTAACAGGCAGGAATAGAAGATGTCTTTGCTCTTATCTCAATGCAGGAGAAAAAAGTGCACGTATATGTATTCTATGCACATTGTCTCCAAGGAGTTTCTGAAAAGTCAGGGTGAGCTCCCTTGAGGTGAGATGACAGAAGCCACTGTGTTGACACTTTTGGTTTGAACTGGTAGAGCCAGATCTCACTGCATTAAAAGAGAATTTTAATTAGATTATCTTGAGTGTAATTTGGCAAATTCTAAGGGAGGGCTAGATTTGGGTGGGGAAGAAACAAATGAAAATAGAGGTCATTTGGATGGAAGGGCAGTTGAGAAGGACTGAAAGAGTTGGTCCTTGACAGAATTCTAGAAGCTCTGAGTGGCATCCAGGTGGGAAAACAAAAAATCCCACACCAAAATTAAATGATAAATGTTCTAATAGGGAAAAGCTATTTAACTTTGCTTGCAAAAGAGAATTTTTGGCTGATTCTTTTGTCTGAGAGTGTTGCATTTTCTCTGACACATCCTAGATTAAAAAAAAAATTCCCACATAAGAGAGTGATATTGTCTAGGTAAAAATCATCATAACTGCCATTCACTAAATCCCCAATATTTGCCTTGACATATGCTTTAGATTCAGTACATGCAATCCCACAGTCTTACAGGATGGGGTGTATCAAACACAACTGGGAGATGAAGAACTCCTCATATTCACAGGAGGTAAGTGACAGAGCTAGACTAGACACCTGGTCCAAATTCGTCTAGGGCAAACGCTCTTCCACCTTTCCCACCCTGAACCTGACTTTGTGTATCCTTATTGACTTTTCTTCTGCTCCAAAATATATCTTAGGCAATTAAAAAAAAAAAAAAAGAAAACGCATTTTGTGACCATAACACTGGATTGGAATACATAGCCAGAGCAATAAAAATACCAAAATAAATGAGAGGTATGAATAATGAAAGGAAGGATATAATATCTGGTAACAATATGATCAATTACATATGCAGCGTCAGTTAACCTCAAAAGATGGGGTCTTGTAACATTTTCCGGCTCAGCCCCTTCCCTATAGTAAGTTAATCTTTTAGAACAGAAGTTATACATAAGAGGTCAAGTCTGGATGGTTAAAAAGAAGAAATATGTAGATCAGCATGTTTTTTTTCTCTGACAGCCCACCTCCTACCCGAAGCCCTCTGTCTTGTTCTTCAGCTTCCCCATCTCACCTCACTCCTGGGACATGGACTCATTCTCTGTAGGATCTGCAGTAGGAAGACTGTCCAAGTGTTTGAGGGGAAGTGGCATTTCCGAGGAAGCCCTTCAAAACAGAGACAGGAGCCAAGATAAGGACCCGGATAAATGACGACTGGGGAGAGCATCACCCAGTCATATAGGGTGTCAGGCAAAGACTTCCCCTCACCTGCTCTTAGATCTACAGGGCCAGGCTGACTGTTGCAAGGAAGGCCTCAAGGAGGTAAGGGCCTAGTTGTAGGGGCAGCAGCAGAGAGAAGTTCCCAATGTCCTAAGAAGAGCGTAATTGAGAATCATGCGTGAAACTGAGGTGACTCTCCACCCCGGAACAGAGGGGGCGCCAGAGATCCTGCCCTTGCCATCAGCCTTGGGAGGGCCCCTCCTTGGTGAGGCAAAGAGTAGCGCTCACTTCCTCCTCCGGCCCGTCTCTCCCGGAAGGTGAGAGACTGCCTCAGGCGGACTGCTTCAGGCGGACCGCCTCAGGCGGACTGCCTCAGGGCAAGCGAGGGAGGAGTCCTAGGCTCCAGCAGGAGTCCAGGTGAGGAGCCTGAATGAGGAAGGAGAGACCCACTCACCCCTGACCCCAGTGCCTCCACCGAAGCCCCGCCCCCTGCTCAGTCCTGGGGGGGCCCTGGGCAGGGCATTCGGGCTGAGTGGGATTTCCGTCGGGAGGGCCTCAGGAAGGCGAGGGCCTTGGTATAGGTGGGCAGCCCAATTCAGCAGAGGGAGAAGACCCTTACAAGAGTTAAAGTGAGGAAACTGAGGCATAAAGTCCCACCAAGGCCCTGCTGACAGCTCCCGGGGGACCCAAGCCTGGCGGTCGGGTGAATGTGAGCCTTCATTTCCTAGTTAATGGGTCCACAAGCTGAGGGCCTTGATGTGAGGGGAAGGGGACATGCTCTGAAGGAAATCAAGGGCGAAACTCTGAGTGAGGTCTGAGGGGACCATCAAACCCAGAAAAGTGAAAGGCCGCCGAACTTGCTGCTGCCCTCAACCCTGGGAAGCCCCGGGCAGGGCTGTCAGGCTTTCTTCTGCGAGGAGGGTCTCAGGGACGTGAGAGCCTTGGTCTGAAGGGAGGGACCCCAAGTTAGCAAGGAAAGCGACCCAGGCCGGGCCAGGAGGCAGGGTAAGGACTAGGTGAGGACTGAGGGAATCCCTGTCGTGCCAGCAGCCCTGGATGCCTGTGCACTGGTCACGTGATGGCGGACACTCATTTTTTCCTATGGTGTCACCCAGGGGTGGGGGATGGGGGAGTGAGAGATTTTGTTTAAAGGGGATGGTTTACCCTCTGCGGTAAGAGGATTTCCAGATCTTTCCAGGAGTTAAGGTAAAGACCATGATGTCTGAAAGGAACAGTCGCAATGAGGGTACAAGAGAGCATAATTGAGAATCATGTGTGAAACTGAGGGGATTCTCCACCCCGGAACAGAGGGGGCGCCAGAGATCCTGCCCCTGCTGTCAGCCTTGGGAGGCCCCCTCCTTGGTGAGGCAGAGAGTAGCGCCTTGTAGACTATGGGGTGACCCTTGTGTCTTCCTAATGGGGAGGGTCTCAGGAGGTGCTGGCAGGAGGAGAGGAGTCCAAGGCTGTGCCAGGAGTCAAAGGAAAGATTGAGGGGACCACTCACCATTGAATAGATAAATTTGACCAGGGCGGGCCTGGTGGCCCAGTGGTTAAGTTCGTGGGCTTGGCTTCAGCAGCCCGGGGTTCACAGATTCAGATCCTGGGCTCAGACCTACACACCACTCATCAAGCCATGCTGTGGCCACATCCCACATACAAAATAGAGGAATATTGGCACAGATGTTAGCTCAGGGCCAATCTTCCTCACCAAAAACAAAAACAAAAAGAAAAACTGAAGTAGAATAGATAAAAAATTTGAGCCCTACCTTTGCATTCAGAACTTGAAGGCTCAGGGTAGAGCTGTGAGGCTGAGGCTCAGTCTCACTTCTTTACATGAAATCTAGGAGAGAAGAGAAGTTTGGCGTGAGGGTGCAGCCACCAGCCAGCAGAAGGGAGGTGTATCAGGCACTACCTGGAGACCAGGTGAGTACCCTGCATGGGAATTGAGGACTCAAGCAGCCCGTGAAGGAGAGGGCTCCACATAGCTCTCCGTTCTGTGCCCCCTGACAGGGCCAGGGACTAAGGAACCCCTTCACTTCCCTGGGGTCTCAGGGAGGTGCTGGCTTTGGTGTGAGGTGTCAATTCCACAGCAGCACAATAGAGGGGGCACAGGAGCTGCCAGCAGTTGTCACAATGATCCTAATTGTGAACTGAGACGACGCCCCCACCGCACAACAGAGGCTCCCCACTGGCAGCCCCTGCCGTCACCCCAGGACGCCCCAGGAAGGGCTGGCAGGCTGCAGTCTAAGGTTCCCTCTAACTTCCATCACAGGGTTCTCAGGGGACAGGCTGATCAGAATAGGAGCCCTTTGGGGTCCTAGAGCAGTGCCCTTGAGGAAACCTGCAGAGGTGGCCTTGGTTAAAGCCAAGGTGGTATCTCCCTGCTGAAGGTGCTCACACCATCATTCTGCCTCCTCCAGGTGCTTTCATCTTCTTCCATCCTCCTGCCTGCTGTCACTGACCCTAGTGTCATCATGCCTCGGGGGCACAAGAGTAAGCTCCGGGCCTGTGAGAAACGCCAGCAGGCCCGTGGTGAAACTCAGGGTCTCCAGGATGCTCAGGCTACCACAGCAGCAGAAGAGGAGTCCACTCCCTCCCCCTCTCCTCAGCCTGGAGCTGTTGTCCAGAGCCCACCAGCTGCTGCTGGGTCATGTAGCACTTCCCAGGGGCCTCGAAGAGCACCGGCCACCACCACTGCTTCTGCAAGCGTTTCTTACACTACATCTGGTAAAGCTTCCGACAGCCAAGATGAGGCTAGAGCAAGCACCCCCAAGGCTCAACCCTCCACTGAGAGTTCAGGCCTAGATTCTTTAAGCAAGAAGGCTGTGTTGTTGGAGCAGTACCTTCTGTACAAGTACAAAATGAAACAGCCCGCCATGAAGGCAGACATGCTGAAGATTATCAACCCAAACTATGAAGACCGCTTTGCTGAGATTCTCAAGAAAGCCTCTGAGCACATTGAAGCTGTCTTCGCGTTAGAACTGAAAGAAGTCGACTTACCCAGTCGCTCATATGATCTTGTCAGCAAATTGAAGCTCCCCAACAATGGGAGGGTGCGAGGTGGCAGAGGGTTACCCAAGACCGGCCTCCTGATGAATATCCTGGGTATGATCTTCATAAAGGGCAACTGTGCCTCTGAAGAGGATATCTGGAAGTTCCTGAGTATGATGCAAGTATATGCTGGGAGGAAGCACTACATCTATGGGGAGCCCAGGAAGCTCATCACCAAAGATTTGGTGAGGCTGCAATACCTGGAGTCCCGGCAGGTGCCCAACAGTGATCCTCCACGCTATGAATTCCTGTGGGGCCCGAAAGCCCACGCTGAAACCAGCAAGATGGAAGTCCTGAAGTTCATGGCAAAAATCAGTGATACCGTCCCCAGTGCTTTCCCATGCTATTATGAAGAAGCTTTGCAAGATGAAGAAGAGAAAGCCCGAGCCATAGATGCAGCCAGGGCTACTGCCAAAGTCTGTGCACCTTCTGGGGCCGTCCCCAGCAATATCTACCCACCTCTACTGAAGTCTGAGAATCTTCCAGTCAAGAAACTAACATCACAATAGGGATTATGTTCTTGGAAATGTGAAAGAATCCCACAGTAAAATTGTTTGGATAATGGAATAGAAAAAAAAAGATCAATCTTAGTTTTCCTTGTTGCTTTTAGTCTTTAGCTTTGTAAACTTAAATGAGTTATACTTTGAATTTCTTAGCTTATTCAAGAAAGTAATAGAAATGACTTTTTTACAGAATAACTGTCAAAAATAAATGTCTGTTGTTTAAGCCCCCCAGTCTATGGTATTTTTGTTATAACGGCCTGAGCAGAGGAACACACAGGGTTTTGTCTCTCAGCTCTGAAGCATATCATCAGAGGGTTATGGAAGCTGGGATGTTCACAATCAATATGCTAGTGGATTCGGTTCCTGGTGAGAGCTCTCTTCCTGGTTTGCAGACGGCCACCTTCTCCCTGTGTCCTCACCTGGCAGAGAGAGCAAGCTTTGGTCTCTCATGCTCCTCTTGTAAGAGCATTAATTGCATCGTGGGCACCCCATCCTCACGACTTCATTCTAAACCTGGTTACCTCCCAAAGACCCCATCTCCAAATACTATCACATTAGGGGTTGAGGCTTCAACATATGAATTTTGGGGAAGACACAAACATTCAGTTCATAATGGAAAATTGCTGCTACATGTTACTTCAGGATTTGGGGTAAATCAGAGAGAAATCTCCACCTGGAGCAGGAAAGGAAGGCGTTCTTTGCTCCTGTTCCAGCGCAGAGGAACACAGTGTGCAAACTAAGTGTTCTATGCACATCATCTTCAGGGAGTTCTTGAGAAATAAGTGTGATACTCCCTTGAAGTGAGATGCCAAGAATTCCTTGTGCTGGCACTCTTTGCCTTGCCTGCTCCATTAAAAGGGCATTTTTAATTAGGTTATCTTGAATGTAATTTGGCAAACTCTAAGCAAGGGCTAGCTTTCATTAAGGATGTAATGAATGTAAATAGATGTTGTTTGGATGGCAGGGCACCTGGGAGAAATGGAAGGACTTGCACCTTGACACTGATTCTAGGAGCTTGAGTTATAGCCAGCTAGGGAAGACAACTCCGCACCTGAATTAAACGACACGTACTCTAATGGGAAAAATTTATTTAGTTTTACTAGCTAAGGAGAATTTTTGGTTGATTCAATGTTCTTTGTCCCAGAATATTGTATATTCTTTAACATCTCCCGGATTAAAAAAAAAAATTCCAAGGGAGGTGGGTGGTATCATCTGGGATCAAAATAATAATATAAACTGCCATTCTTTAAATATTGTATAATATTTGCTGGTCATCTTGCCTTGTGCTTTACATAGAGTACAAACATTCCAACAGTCATATAAAACAGGGCTTACTAAACCCACTTGGAAGATGAAGAACCTGCAATTTCCTCAAGTTCACAAGACTGGTTAGTAGCAGAGCTGGGACTTAGACCCCTGGTCTGAGCTTGTCTAGAGGCCACACTGTTTCACTCCTCTCAACCCGAGGCAGACCTTCTGTCTCTTAATTCAATTTTGTTCTCACTATTCCAAAATCAATCTCAGGCAATAAAAAGGCGCTTGTGGTCAAAGTACTAAAAGCAGGTGTATTGAAGGGGAAGGGAAATATGAGAATAAATAAAAATTTGGGGATTGTCTTTGGGTTTTGTTTTCCTAGGACCCCACTGAGAGCTAACTCTGCCAAGGAGCTGGTATTTTGTCCAGCTCCAGCTCTTCCCATCATTACAATGCCTTTCCCCTGGGACTTCCCCTGTGTGCCCTCCTTCTAACTCTGGAACCTGACTGCTGACCAGCTCTTCACTACAACCTCCTTCCAGGGCTGCACTTCCCTCGCAGTGGAGCAGACAGCCCATATCACCTGCTCTCCCTCTGACTTAGAACATCCCAGCTCCCTGGTGGCCACTTCCTTCACCATGGATGTAGATCATCTTTATATTCCTATTTATGTGGTAATTGGGAGATCTGCATTTATCTCTCTCTTTTGATTATTTTTCAAATATTGTTCCTTTTAATAGATGGTTGAAATAGCTTCTGAGTATAAGTTTATGAATCACTTTGTTTACACATTTATTGCCGTGCATCAGGTTTACAGGTAGGAGTTTTTATATCTTGTGAATCAAACTGGGAAACCTTCTCTCTTATTTTTGATCCAGAACAGGATAACATGGCATTGGAATAGGTGTCACTTTGGAAATGTGAAGTAACTCAGTAGTAAAATTGTTGAGATCAAGAAATGGAGCAAAATAAAGTAAAAGATTGTCAATTCCTGTCTTCCTTATCTTTTTTAGTCTGTTGATCAGTAAAATTAAATGACGCATACCTGGATTTGCTTAGCTTACTTAAGAATTTAGGAGAAATTAAATATTAATAAATTAGAGAAGATGCTCATTGGCTTATTTATTCCCTTAACATTAATTGGGCATCTCCTCTTTGGAGTACACTGTGCTGTTGCTGGGGGTGCTAGCTTTTTTGTGTCCAGGAGCAGTAATCTTATAAGGAAGATGGTAAGATATTGTGGTAAACCAGAGGGACAATTTAAAAGGAGGGTCCAGATGAATTCAGTAAAAATGGGAGGTCAGTGTAAATGCTCCAAGGCAAGTCTGTTTGGGAAAGTGAAAGTTCTTCAGTGAGATGAATGTTTAAGTTTAGGTATGTCACAGGAAGTTAAGACTGTAGGAGCAGGGAACAAGTGCCAGCTCTTCATTCACGTGGTGTATCTTAAAGTTGAGAGACTTAAACTTATAGCACATAATGAATCCTGTATAAACTAGAAAGAAACTTTCAATTGGCAGAGGTAGGCAGGTGTTCTGGGTCATTTTCCATTACATTTGAACACAGTTTGCAAAGTCATTGTTTTACCTGTATCTCATGTCCACACAAAACCTGTACAATTTTTGAGAAGTTGTATTTTCATTTCATCTAGCTCAAAACCTTTTTCAAAAATTTCTCTTGAGATTTCTTCTTATACTCATGTGTTATTTAGAAGTGTTTTGTTTAATCTCCAAGTTTTGGGGATTTTTCAGTCCATTTTAACTCCATTATTGTCTGAGACAAAAATTGTATGATTTCTATTATTTTAAATTTGTTAAGATGTATTTTATGGCCCAGAATGTGGTCTATCTTGGCAAATGCTCCATGTGAGCTTGAGAAGAATGTGAATTCTGCACTTGGATGAAGCAGTATATAGATGTCAATTATATCCAGTTGATTGATGATGTTATGTTCAGCTATGTCCTTACTGATTTTCCACTTGCTGGATTTGTCCACTTTTGAGAGAGGGCTGTAGAAGTCTCCAACTATAATAGTGGGTTCATCTATTTCTCTTTGTAGTTATATCAGCTTTTGCCTCAAACATTTTGCTGCTCTGTTGTTAGGTGCATATACATTAAGGATGTTATATTTTCTCAGAGATTTGGCCCATTTATCATTATGTAATATCCTTCTTTATCCCTGTTAACTTTCCTTGCTCTGAACTCTGCTACGTCTGAAATTAATATAGTTACTCCCACTTTTTTTTTTTATTACTGTTAGCAGGGTATATTTTTCTCTATCCCTTTACTTTTAATCTATATGTGCCTATATAAAGTGGGTTTCTTGTAAACAATATAGAGTTTGGATTTGTTTTTTGGTCCACGCTGACAATCTCTGTCTTTTAATTGATGTTTTTAGATTGTTGGTATTCAAAGTAATTATTGATATTATTGGATTAACATCTACCATATTTGTTACTGTTTTCTATTTGTTGCCCTTTTTCTTTTTTCTCTTTTTTCTAATTTTTCTCTTATGTTTTTTTTCTGCCTATTGTGATTTTTAGGTTAATTAACTTGATTGGGGAATCATTTCACAGTGTGCTTATTGTGGTTTCTGTTTGTTTGCTTCATGAATTTCCTGAACTAACTTTTTTTTTTTTGAGGAAGATTAGCCCTGAGCTAACATCTGCTGCCAATCCTCCTCTTTTTGCTGAGGAAGACTGACCCTAAGCTAACATCTGTGCCCATCTTCCTCTACTTTCTATGTGGGACGCCTACCACAGCATGGCTTGCCAAGCCACTGGGCCGACCCCTGAACTAACTTTTTAATATCTGTGTTCTTTGTCATGTGTAGCACTGACATCTCTGTTCAATTGGTTTATTGGTCAGCTAGTGATTTGACAGAGATTCCTTAATGCCAAAATATGAATCACTTCCATTCTTTGTAGATGGGCATTATGTATTTGCATTGGAGCAATCACTTCTACAATCACTTGGGCAGTTTACAACTTTGCCTATACTTCTCCTACTTGCACAGAGCCTAAACGTGAGCCTGACATGAGAGATTAGGGCCTTTCAGGTATATTTTTCAGCAGCACCTTGTCCTGGGCATTCATGTGATCTTCTAGATTCCCAAGAATACATGGTAGCTTTTCAAAGCCCTTTTTCCCAAAAGCATCTCACTCTTCAACCTTTCTTCCCACACTTTTTGGTTTGTCTATTGTTTGCCCCAACTATTATCCCTTGCCTTAGGCATCAGTAGCTAATACATTTTTTCTTGAAATATTTTTGACAAACAGCCCTCAGGAAATGCCTCTGCTCTGGGGGAGTTCTGAGTTAGGAGAAATAAAAGGAGTCCTTTGAATCCATTCCTCAGGGAGTCACTAAACAGACAAAAACAACAATTCTTTAAGAACAAGGTCTTTTCTGCCCTCTCTGGCATAAGGAGCCCATATCTGGAAAGCTAGTTTCTATCCTCAAGGCCACCCCTGTTTGGGGGAGCCAGGCATGGGGTTGATGTGGATCAAGTTTGCCCCAGGGAGAGAAGCCCAAGGCGTCCTGGCCAACATACCAAGCTGTATCATCCCTCCGGAAGTATAGGACGTCCTGATCTGATTCGACCTGATTTGTATCCAAAGTTATAGGACCACCCAATAACCAGGCCCCACCTGCACTGATACCATTCAACAACTTTTTTTTTTACGTGATCTTTCCTTTGTCTTGTAAAGAAATAACTCACATACCTATGCCTTATAAATGTAGCCCTACCCTCAACACATTGCAGCTCTTCACTGCCCAGGGGTCCTGACCCCATGCTATTCTCTGAATAAAAGAGCATACTACCAGACCATGAGAGTCCAAGGAATCTTTCTTTTGACTCCTCGGCTCGCCAAGCCCACATCAGGGTAAGTAAAAATTCCACAAAAGTCTCTTACCAAGATTCAGTTGCCTTTTCTTGATTAAGTGGTCTCTCTGGTTGTTGTAAAACTATGATTAATTTCCAGAGTTCCAATAAAGTTGG